TATACAATTTTTTTTAAATAAATACAAAATAAAACAATAAAAAATAAATACAATTCATAATTCATTATGAGATTAGTGTAAGATTTCACTTAACAATGTTTTTGAATTATTAGGATTTTAAAAGGTTACCTTTAAATGAGTGTTAGAAGATGGCAAAAGTAATCTAAATCTAACCAATAATGATGGAAAATAAATAAATAAATATTGTCACGCTACCGATACGGAACGTATGTATTGTGAATCCCTAATGTATATTTTTGCTTAATATTAAATAAATATAAAAGTGAAAATTGCACAAAAATGCACGTCTGCCAAATGAATAAATGTAAGTGATTTGTCTTAAGCACTGATGTTATTAAAGTGACTGAGCAAGCTTAAAATAACACAACAATGTTCATACTTGAAATAATTTAGGACGTTTGCATTCACTGAAATTTGTTTAAATCAACAAAAATGTAATTGAATTTAAACAGAATTTAATTTGAACTCTGTAAAACTTGTGAGCTGAGAAATTTTTCTGATGCAGAATAAACTGTAGAAATATATGGAACACTGATGCACAATAACACTTTCCACACTAATATTTTTTTTATATGAAAAGTAAATGAGAACCAGCCCCTTTTGAGTGTGAATAGTGGATTCGCTCACCTTGTAAATGGCAAGGTACATCATACTCAATCTCATCATGGCGTGAAGGGCTCAGGAACAGCGTTCCATCCACTAAAGGGAACTGCTCAAAGATGGGCAGGGTGTGATGGCAGAGGGCACAGTTCACCACATTGCGGTGACTCGCACTGAGCGCAGAGAGGATGAACTTCCTGAGGTCCTCTCCCTGCCCGGCCTGGGCATCGTCCTCCATTCGCACATGATAGGTGTTGAGCTTGTGGCGTGGAACGTGCGTGAGCAGCTCAGAAAGATCCAGCCTCCTCAAGAACTGCACAGAGTTGTCTCCGGGAGAAAGCCGAGGGAGGCACATGTTGGTGGCTCCCTGCTCAAATTGAGCCCCACCACGTGCCACCCCACCTCCGGACAGCAAATGCTTCCTGTGGCCTTCCATATGAACCGCGTTCTTAAGAAACTCGCCCAGGTGCCTCGAACTCCGCGGGCCACCGAGGGACTGGGGGCAGAAGGAGGAGAAGCCCGATGGAGGGGACTGAGCGGGGGATTCGCAAGGGGAGAGGAGCCCGTGGGAAAGCCCACTGGCGGCATTGGGAAGACCAGCGTGACATCTCTCCAGACAGTTCTGCCAATCTGCCGATTGTCTGCGAGACAGTTCCTGACTGGAGCCGCGGTGCGCTAGCTTATGGCTTGCAGATGATTTCCCTTTCTTGGGCTCATCGGCAGCTTCCGGACCACCTCCGCCGCATGCGCCACCTACGCAGGCAGAACTGCTGGGCTTCCCGCTCCCTTTCTCCGGCACCTTTTTCTTGCGCTCGTCCTGCATGCGTTTCACCTGGTACCAGTCTGTGTCTTTTTTCAGGTGTCCCTGGCCGCAGCGGCAGGAGCAGAAGCGGAAGGCCAGATCGTAGCCCTTTTTGGTCCACATGTTTTGTCGGCACTGCTTCTCGTTCCAGCTGCGGGCCCGGCCGATGCAGTTGAACTGCACCAGGATGCTGCTCTCCCACTCGTAGAAGCACTGCAGGTGCATCCAATTGCTGTAGGGGCAGATTTCACTGTTGCACACCACACGCTGGTAGTCGTCCTTCTCAAGGTCAACGGGACGGCCCAGACTGCACACTAATGGGGTGGCACATGGAGCCTCTGCCAAACACAATGGCATGATATATTAATTTAGGCTTAATGCAAGAGAATAGCTCACGTGATAATTCTTTCATCATTTAAACCTGTTTGACTTTCCTTCCTCAGTGGAACAGAAAAAGAAATGTTAGAATGATTCACTTTCATTGTAGGTGAAAAGAAGATGCAATGAAAGTGAACGGTGACTAAGGCTAACATCTTTTGTGTCTCAGGAAAAAAAAATTGAGCTTGGAACGACATGAGGGTGAGGATTTAAATTTCTGGGTGAACTGTTGCTTTAAGGTAAAATATATGTAATGCAGATTACAATGCCTTATACACTAAAAAATAGTAATTAAATAAATTCATGTTATTTTGCATGGGGTTCAATGTTTTGTATTCTAATGTAAAAATGAATGACTGAATTCAAAAGTAAACCCGAAAATTAACATGAGGAAGATTTGAATAAAGCAAACCTTCACCAAATCCATGAAGGGACATCTATTTATAGACAGTGTGATTCAAGCAGCTTCACTGGCAGAATGTTCAATGTCAGTACATCACTTCTATTTATGATAACTCTGTGGGTGCGAATCCCACTCAAAAAGAACAAATATTACGCAACACTCCTGTGAATGAAATCTGAATGAGTGTCTCATGAGAGACAGGGAAAGACAATTATACAACAGAGAGCCTCATTCCTCAAATTTGATTGGACAGCGCTGCTTTTTCTGTGTGAATTCTGATTGTTCACTACCTTTCAATCCAGACTACGTAAGTATAGAGTGACAAACGGCAATGTGTTTTCTCTCATGCACTTCAGCAAAGTTGTATAAATTCAGCTGCAGCAACAAAAAAAAAAATGGCTCAATAATCACTCTGACTGGGTTTCTCTCACGGAGCGTGTTAAAGTGAAAACATGGAGTGGAGTCAGGTGATTAAAGCACTTTCTAACGCATTTAGGAACAGCCCTGTCGATCCGCTCCACTCATAAAAACGGCTCCAGTCCAGATTTTTTTATAATAATAAAATAATAATAATTCATTACATTTATATAGCGCTTTTCTAGGCACTCAAAGCGCTTTACATTGTGAGGGGGGGATCTCCTCATCCACCACCAGTGTGCAGCATCCACCTGGATGATGCGACGGCAGTCATAGTGCGCCAGAACGCCCACCACACACCAGCTTATTGGTGGAGAGGAGACAGAGTGATGAAGCCAATACGCAGATATGGGGATTGTTAGGAGGCCATGATGATCAGAGGCCAATGGGCAAATTTGGCTAGGATGCCGAGGTCACACCTCTACTCTTTTTCGAAAGACATCCTGGGATTTTTAATGACCACAGAGAGTCAGGACCTCGGTTTTACATCTCATCTGAAGGACGGTGCTTGTTGACAGTATAGTGTCCCCATCACTGTACTGGGGTGCTAGAACCCACACAGACCACAGAGTGAGCACCCCCTGTTGGCCTCACTAACACCTCTTCCAGCAGCAACCTAGTTTTCCCAGGAGGTCTCCCATCCAGGTACTGACCAGGCTCAGCCCTGCTTAGCTTCAGTGGGCAAGCAGTCTTGGGCTGCAGGGTGATATGGCTGCCGGCCATATCTAGTCATATCATATTTATGCATCACTAGTGACCAGCAAAGGTTCTCAGAACTATTTTTGTTCGCGGTGAAGACCTACAATTTGTCTAAAACCTACTGGAGTTATCGGTCAATAAATAGTAATAATCATGCTGTAGTAACAAATATTACCTGTGCCCTAATATTCAAAAGCTCTTGCTGCAGATATTCCATTATTCATAGCTGCCACTCAAAGATAGATACCACTTCCATTACCTCAAGAGCCAAAGCCATTCTATGCATTATTAAACACTCTAACTGCACATCATTAGGGTGATACGACCTGTCATTACACAACACTGATCTCCAAATCACCTGCAACTCCTTGCCAAGTGCATCTACCCTTGACCAAGGCCTACGCAACCACCTTGTGCAGGACGATAAGTGAAAACACGGAAATCTCCAGGCAGTGTCGTAACAATTCTGAGGGTGATGACGCGCACAAAACAAGTTGCTGCAAGTGAGAGAACATTTAAAAGGAAGGTAACGCTCGCTCGCTCGCTCGCGCTCGCACGTTCAGGGAAACGTACCGTTCGGTAGAACATTCACTGAAGTGACGTTCTTCTTAACTTACCGCTTCTATTGTCGCTCGGCGGACCCGCTGTCGCGCCAGTCAACACCGAGGCAGTTCCTCCTGTAACCGCAGACGCAGAGGCTCCATTTTCTTGCTCGTCCCCGCTACTGTTCGTGCGTTTATTTCTCTTCCCCTTGTTGCTTTTTTGGTTGGGCATGATGGTGCGCTCAGTATGAATGCAGCCTGTCAGCGACCGCCACCGAGAATTTGTGCGGATATCATGTCGAGGGTGCTTGACGAATCCAATGCGAATCGGAATGCACGGGGGATGCAGATGTTACAGTTCGATCATCATCCTCCAGATTTGTGCAAGCAGTCTTGACAGCAGAGGTACACCATGAAGAAGGCGTGTCTCTCTCTTGTTTTGATTCCTGCTCTGAAGAGAGAATGTTCCTCTGGCCCCGCCTCCATCTCTGATCCAGACCCGGAGCTCAGAGTTATTAATAGCACAGACCTAAGAGGGAGTCCCAAGCAAATAATCGACACACTGCTAAAATGATTTAAGTCATACGTGCTTTGCCACATATGGCTTTACAAGTGACAAGCATGCTGTTAACGAGATAAGACCTTCATTTTGCTATTCGATTTTTTTTTTTTTTAATCAATAACCTAAAATGTTTTTTCAGCCACACTTCATTGGAGACCCATTTTAAATTTCACATAGAACCTTTTATGTGCTTCAGAGAAGCTGTGCCATCTGGAACCTTGTTGTAAATTATACTAAAGAAGAACTTTTTCCAGTCCTCCAAAGAACCGTTTTAGGTGCAAATGCCTTTCAAAAATTCTAAATCTGTACATTTCAACTGGGCTCATTCATTCAAAGACAAAAACAGTCATACATTTGAAAGATAAAAAAAAGCGTCTACAGTTCTCGTATTTATATAAGTTTATTGCACTGTCTCCAGTCATTTGAGAAGCAGATGAAGCATCACAAGAAAGACAGCAACACCGAAATCCAAATCCACACTAAAAACTGGAAGTTTGAAGTCAGTTCTAAATGTTGAGGAACAGATGCTGTAGAGATTCATACATTTATCTTTAAAAAAAGAACATTAAAAGCTTCCTCTTCATTCGATTTTTATTTTCCCCCCACTGTCATAATCCATTTAATGACCCAGTACAAAGTTATAAGCATACTCCCCTCTATTTAATTGTTGAAGTCTTTATTTCATATTGCTGCTCACGCTAAGGTCTTCCTGAGCTTGAAATGGCACAGACTACACCATTGGGAGCCTTACAACATTTGTACAGACATAAATAACAAAAACAGCACAAGTACAATGTGGGGATGTTTTTGCAAGAGCTTTATAAAACAGAATATCACACTGGAACAGTTCAGATGATTTGTTGAACTTGGTTGTTTTTTTTAAACATTTAATTCCAGAAAATCATACAGCAGATAAATGTTACTTACTATTTATGTTTATCAGCCTTTGAGATGTTATAGCACATATAACCTGAATGACCATGAATAATTTCACAGTAATGGTACTGCAAACAAACAACCTCATGATTACAGTAAAAGACAGCAATTATGCAGTCTACAATCAATACAGTCAGAATAGGACATCAGAGGTATATTCTGTAAAACTGATATTAACCTGCGTGGATATTCATTTCCGTTAGGTTGAAAACAGTATTTGATGAATTCATTCAATCACAGAAAACCAGTAACACGATCATGCACACTATAATTGTTAGCTGTTGAGCTGACTGAACAGGGAAGATTGCTACTTTAAAAAAAAGAAAAACTGTGCAGATCACTCCCCTGAGAGAAAAAAAGTTGCTGTATAAAAATATTCCAATCCAGTATACAAAAATGTTACATTCTCAAGTATATATTTCCATATCAAAAATGTAGCAATGACATGTCAAAAACACATTTGTACTTTTTACTTGAGTTTAGAAAAGACTGTAGATTCAGTCCTGCAGTAATATGACATCAACGTTGTCGTGAACTCCTTGCAGTAAGAGCTCGCCTTCGAATGCGATGACCTTCTTTCGCTTGGCCGCTTTCAGCGTTCCGACCAGAGCTTCAAAGAGGTTGGCGCATTGGTCATCATTAAACAAGACTCCAAATTTGACACTGATCTTCCCATCTGCGTCTGAGACAGTGAGAATGGTCAGGGTTCGCTCTAAATCATCATCAATAACAACCCTGAATACCCAATTAACATTTACTGTATGTACTTAATAAAGCACCAAAACAATATAGAATAAGTGTTAGCAAATCTCAAAAGCGAGCAGTATGAGGGATCATAAGCCTGGTTTGAGTAAATACCGTAGAGTATTGAGAGTACAGTGCAGTATGTCAACTAATAGAAAGTAAACGTGCACTTCTGATATAAGGACTTGAAATTTCAGAATGAACAGTACTGCTCCTATTTATCCAGAACTCCTCATCTAAAGAAGCATCAAGACCTGCATTGTTAGTAAATTATGATGTGTAAAGCCATCTTAGTACATACATTTGAATGAATGCAGATTTTTAACTGCTTATATAATATACAATATATTAAAGTATATTAGAATGATTTCTGAAGGAGCATGTGACACTGAAGACTGAAGTAATGGCTGTAAATGACATTTAAAAAAAGATATTAAAATGGAAAAGTTATTTTAAATTGTAATATTTCCCAATATTAATGTTTTACTGCATGTTTGACCAATTAAATGCAGCCTTGGTGAGCATAAAAGCATTCTTTCAAAAACATTAAAAATCCACCTTTTATCCACCAACTTGTGTTTATAGATATGGACGTTTGAAATACAAAATCGAATTTCTCATTTAAACCTGAAAATAAATGTTTCGGAGAAATGTTATGGTGTAGAATAAATATGAAATATTAAGTTTATGCATTATATCTAGGCCTCCAAACCAATAAGCAAATTTGTGACAATTTTCATTTATCATTTGTAATAGGGAAAATAGGCAGAAATAATCATTTTCACCGGCGGTCCCATGCAGACTTGATCCCTAACAATGATGTTGATCAAAAAATAGCACAAGACTTACTTGTACTGCCCAGTCGACGAATCTCATCAACGAGCAGTGTAACTTCATGTTCCACATTCATTTTTGTCACTGAAATATACATGCATGTTAATACTGTAAAGGCTTACTTTTTTACCTACTCTATAGCCTACTGCATTAAGTCTTTGAAAGACTTAAATATATACTGAGACTATAACCATCTTTGCTGATTCAAGTTTGAGTATGCAACTGGAATAATAAATAATAGTTCGTTTAAAGCGTTCTGAGCATTCTTACGTGGATTACAACAATAAACACGTGCTGCATAAATCGCTCAACTGATTTTGACACTCATTCTCCACTTGATGTGCTTTATTTAACGCCCTCTCTGAGCGAGTTGAGAATTGCAACGCCGCACCCTACCGGCTTATTGCAGATGCTGACCATATAAAGGCTATAATTACTTATCATCTTGATTTTTGATTAAGCAAATGACACGTGTGGCCCGCCTGGTTAATACCATACCGTAGGTTAAACATAATGAGGCATAATTAATAAACGGCAGCACGAGGATTATCATTTGATCAAGCAATGCGGAAGTACGAATCTGAACACTGAAAGTGAAAGAAATGTGTGAAATATTGTATTAAAGCAAATTGTGACTCGCATATAATTTGAATTCTATCATCACACAGACTGAATTCCCTAAAGTACACATAAACAAACAAACACTTTTTTCTGCGTAAATCTATTCACACTGCATCAAAGAGGCTTGCACTCAGATTCTGGATTATCAATCCATAACGCCATTAGGAAAACATGTATTCGGATAAATAACTCATTAACATCAAAAAATATTCCAAAGCGGTACAGTAATCAATCTACGTACCTCTGTGGTGGTTTTGTGCCGGCGCTCTGCTGACTATAGGCTGACTGAATGAGAAAGCTCTACCATAGATGGCTTTGGGGGGTGTGACGTCACATTAAACGGCCCTCTTTACATGAACCTAGTGGTTAGTGGTTACAAACTCATTTGTTAACCTAAAGTGATTTTTTTGGATACGCTTGGAATGGCGGGTCCCCTAATTGTATGGCGCTGAGTGATGCCATATAGCAACAAAATGTACAGTTTAGTTACTAGGCAACATTCCATGAAAATGCTGTCCATCCATAAATGTTTGAGATATGAAATTTAATTTATTAGACACCAGGTGGCAGTAAATAGCTGATTACTGCTATTACGGTGACATTTGGTTTGTAGCCAATGAGCTTTTTAAATTATTTTTTGTGTATTCGACAATTCGACGTTAATATAATATTGTGTATATATATATATGACTGTATAAAAATATAAAAAATATAATAGGCGACAGAGAGACAGATAGATAGATAGATAGATAGATAGATAGATAGATAGATAGCGAATGTGCTCTTTAATAGTATTTAAATATTAATTTTAATGCCAGCGAAAAGCGCATGCGTACGAAAATGACGTGCAGTCTTACGCAGGTAGCTTGTCTTACGCATGTTTGTCGACGAATTCGACGTTAATATAATATTGTGTATATATATATATGACTGTATAAAAATATAAAAAATATAATAGGCGACAGAGAGACAGATAGATAGATAGATAGATAGATAGCGAATGTGCTCTTTAATAGTATTTAAATATTAATTTTAATGCCAGCGAAAAGCGCATGCGTACGAAAATGACGTGCAGTCTTACGCAAGTAGCTTGTCTTACGTATGTTTGTCGACGCCCCTTTGGTGTGGGAAATGTGGTTTTACGTGCCTGACGCTTCTTTTGTAGTCTAGTCTGCAACGTATTACGTAAGGGGGTCGGTATAAGTACACCGACCAACCGGCATGGCTTAAAAAACGGCTTCGCCTCTTATTAAAGGTCGTAGTCCTGTCTTGTACAATGTAGGCTAAACACTTAAAGAGAATGCACTCCAGGTTCGTGGTTCTTTGGGAAATCGTTGTAGAATTACTTTCATATTTTTTTTCAGTGGGAATCAGAGGACACCTGCAATGTCTCCTGTACAAGAAAATTCGCGGTGGCCCCGAGTATCAAAGTTCACTCTGTCAGCATGTGCTGCAACTCTTGCAGAATTAGGTAGCTACACATCCTTTCTAGTTTTTAATATATCGAATTTTTTTATATTTATATAATAATTCATATCTACAATTTATTCTAAGAATTGATTTAAAGCGCATGTCTTTTGTGTGTGTGTGTGTGTGTGTGTGTCTCTGTGTGTGCGTGTGTGCATGTTTATGCGGTTTATGAGGACACAAATTTGTATAATAACATGAGTATGACATAGGTATTACAACGAGAAGGTGATTTATAAGGACATTTTCAGTGTCCCCGTAATTCAAAAGGCTTATAAATAATTCAGAATGAGTTTTTTTGAAAATCTAAAAATGCAGAAAGTTACCTGTGAGGGGTAGGTTTAGAGGTAGGGTTGGTGTAGGGCAATAGAATATACGGTTTGTACAGTATAAAAATCCTTACGCCTATGGAGAGTCCCCATAAACCATAAAAACAAACCTGTGTGTGTGTGTGTTTTTTTTATACAATTTTTATGTGAGTCACTTTCCCTTTGGACCTTACTAAAACCAGACTTCAGATATCAGAATCAGAAAGAGCTTTATTGCCAAGTATGTTGCACATACAAGGAATTTGTTATGTTGCCTATCTGTCAGAAAGCTGGTGATCCATTGACAGATAGAGCTAGGGACAGAGAGCTGAGTTAATTTGGTCTGGAGGAGTGTTGGGATGATGGTGTTGAAAGCTGAGCTAAAGTCCACAAACAGGATCCTCACATACTGTAAGTCCCTGTTTTGTCCAGATGTTGCAGGATGAAGTGCAGTCCTATATTGACTGCATCATCCACGGACCTGTTTGCTCGGTAAGCAAACTGCAGGGGGTCTAGTAAGGGTCCAGTAATGTCCTTCAGATAAGCCAATACCAACCTCTCAAATGTCTTCATGACCACAGACGTTAGGGCCACAGGTCTGTAGTCATTAAGTCCTGTTATCTTGGGTTTCTTTGGGACGGGGATGATGGTGGACCGTTTGAAGCAGGCAGGGACTTTGCACAGCTCCAGTGATCTGTTGAAGATCTGTGAGAAGATGGGGGCCAGTTGGTGAAGATACAGGGTGAAGGTGGTTCCCGACAGCACTGTGGAAGTGTACAGCCTCCAAAACACAGGGGCATGCTGAGCATAGCTTTGGGTATAGTGCGAGAAGAGGGGCCCTTGAAACTGTGGCAAGGGGTCACACCAGCTATCTACAGACATATATGTAGAATGTTTATTGAAATGAGCTTTATTAACAAACTGAGTTATATATAGAATACTTGCCTGAATTAATAAATGCATGTATTTGAATCCCCTTCTGACCTTTGGAATTCTTCATCTTTAGTGTATTCAGGCGGCAGGATGTTGGCTTATGAACAGCTCAGGGAATCAGTCTTAGGAAGATCTGAAGATGGCATTTTTCCAGTCTGGTGAGGGAAACATCTGTGAAATATGAAACAGGACAGTGATTAAAGTCTAAATACATGGGATCAGCATGTGTTCTGTGATGTGTATAAGAAAGCAGTGATTGGCAGTATGATATCAGGTGCCTTGGGCCAGTTCATCGCTAGTCCAACAGATCTAGTGAAGGTTCAGATGCAAATGGAGGGCAGGCGCTGTCTGGAAGGGAAGCCGCCAAGGTGAGGCATAGACTTAAAGGAATAGTTCACCCAAAAATGAAAATTTGCTGAAAATGTACTCATCCTCAGGCCATCCAAGATGTAGATGAGTTTGTTTCTTCCTCGGAACAGATTTGGAGAAATTCAGCATTACATCACTTGCTCACCAAAGGATCCTCTGCAGTGAATGGGTGCCGTCAGAATGAGTAAATGTTTGGGTGAAGTATTCCTTTAATTCATCCCTGTTAAAAACTTTTTAAATGACTACTTATTCTGAATGTTTTTTTTAAACTGACAGAATACATGGGGTTTACCGTGCTTTTACGAAGATCATAGCAGAGGGAGGAATACGAGGCCTTTGGGCTGGATGGGTTCCCAGTGTTCAGAGAGCTGCACTGGTCAATTTAGGAGGTACAGTAGTCAAAACTTCTAGAGATATTTTATTTCACAATTAGATCTCTTGACATATGATACCGTAAAGCACTTTCTACTGAGAAACACCTCCATACCAGACAACAGCATTTGTCATGGATTGGCAAGGTGAAATTCTGTTAGACTACTAATGTTAACATAGATAATAAATGTCATGTTGAACAGTTTATACCAAAACATTTTCATAGCATATGCTCAGGATTGGTTGCAGCTATTATGGGAACACCAGCTGATGTGGTGAAAACTAGAGTAATGAACCAGCCACGGGATTCAAATGGAAGGTTAGTTTTGTGTATTTTTTTAAAGGTGATGTGTAGTTAGTAGTTAGTAAGAACATTATTTAACTTTGTTATAATAACTTATTTTGTACAGTTATGTTGCAGGGGTCTTCTCTACAAGTCTTCTACCGACCGTCTGGCTCAGTCAGTGAGAAAAGAAGGATTTTTTGTCACTCTATAAAGGATTTCTACCAACTTGGTTTAGAATGGTATTATGATTTTACATATTACTTGAGTTTATTAAAGTTTTATTGTCTTGTGTTGTTATTCTAACTCTGTTTTTTGTTCCCAGGCTCCCTGGTCTTTGACGTTCTGGCTTACATTTGAGCAAATGAGACGAGCAATAGGCATCAGCTCATTTTGATGATTTTAAGAGTTGGACCTAGAGTATTTTTCTGAGCTGAACATTCCAGACCTAATTTTTTATAGGTGTGAATTTAGTCGTATACAGGTACACGCTGCAGGACATGAATATTAGGATAAAGTTAAGATTGATCACTGTATGTCTTGGAAAAAAATAAAATGGCATAGCAATCATTCAAGCCTTTTTTATAATAAAAATGACAGTTGTTGTCACTCTCTCTCTTTTTTATACTTTTAAGCAATATTTTACTGTTTAAACTGGTCTCCCAATCTGGTTATTTTATATTATTATGGTGTTTATTGATATTTTAAATCACTTTTTATTTTTATAGTTTTCATTTTAATACGATTTTGTTCATTTTTACTGTTTTTAATGTCTATATTATGTTTATTTTAATACATCAAGTTAAACTAAATAAAAGTGTGAAATGTTGCCTTTGCAATGAATGAAAATGAAATAAGTTTAAGTTTTTTTATATGTTTATTATAAGTAACATTGTTTTATGGGTTTAGTTTTGCTTAACTATAACTGGAAGACCAACCAGGACCACAAAACCATGGGCTGGTTTACAATGTTTTTCTACAGGGAAAGCTGTGCTATCCTGATAAAGATTTATTAAAATATACTGTAAATATTTTTGTGAGCAGCAGTTTTTTTTGTATAAGCCTGTAGAGAGGACCTTGCCTCAGGCATGTGAGAAAAACACTCAAAAATACACGTTTTATTATATCAACAAGAATTTGAAATTCAAAACAATGCATAGAGCATGCTTTTCTTTCTACAGAAAAAGCGTATATGTATTCAAATTATACTGCACAGTAGACTAAATAAGTAACGCATATTTCAGAAAACCTAGTGAGATAAAGGTAAAAACATCTTTATTATTTATGCATTTAAACATTAATGAGCAGAGTCCTCAAACAACCACTAGAGGGCATCCAGTCAAAAATTGTACCAGTGAGGAAATAAACCCGGAACGTAAACATGAACCCGGCGATGTGTCAGTTCCGTTCAGGCTATTTTTCACATTCAATAAAATGGCAACTTCCCGGCGTTTAGTCCAGTATGTGGTCGTCCGATCAGACCTGATACACACTTTATCATGGCCTTTAGGGGCGGTTATAACTCAAGCCTGTCACGCGGCCACTGCTGCCATTCATTTACACTACAGTGACCCTGATACTCAGGAATATCTGGCAGAACTGGACAGCATGCACAAAGTAGTGCTGCAGGTTAGTACTGCAATTCCATCACATGCACCATGTGCTTCTTTCCCTGCACTGCTGGGTTGGATTATATAGTAGTCTTCGATTTCTTATGGTTGACAAATACTATCAAAGCCATTAGCAGACTCTCAAGTGACAAATGAATGAATAATTAAGATTTTTTTTTTCATGAAGTTAATATATATATGTACACTTTATAGTTTCAAACTCTTCCCCCCCCCACAGGCTCCAGATGAGGCATCTCTCAACACTCTTTCCAGTACTCTACGTGAAAAAGACATTGCACATAAACTGTGGATGGAGCAGCCTGAGAATATCCCCACATGTTTGGCATTGAAGCCCTACCCTAAAGAGACCGTGCAGCCATTTCTAAAAAAGTTCAAGCTTTTCAAGTGAATTCTGTAAGAATTGTGCAATATTCTGAAATGAACTGTACAGTTGTAAACACAAAGAGTGGCGAGAATGGAATTTGGCTGAATGAACCTGCTAAAACACCTTTAACATCACATCTTTGGTTTTCAACCACATTTTGTCTTGATTTATCTCTGGGGCAAAAGATTACTCACTGTAGTTGTGTTAGTAATCTAAGTACTTTAATATCTAAAATGAAAACGGAATGTCTTTATTCTGCATTGTGATCAGTTTGGGCAATACATTTAATCAGTGTCGACAATGGAATCTGAACTAATCTCAAATGTTTTTAAAATGTATTGGAAGGGCTTTTGAAATATGTATGCTTTAACAAATTAATTAAGACGTAAGATGTGCTGGTGAGTTAGTAATTATGGACTGTTAATATATATATGTGCAGTGAGGGAGTTACATCGTGACCAGTGATGCTCGATTCTTGAGAGAATGACTCTTTTTACCTTGGATTCTCGAACAAAAGAGCCTTATTAGCCGTTTGTATTTTTGGGAAGAAAAAAAAAGGACATGGTGACCAATACAGTTCGATTTTCTTGTTAATGACTTAATGAGCCGGTTCTTTTTAGTGAATCAAGGTTACATCGCGACCAGTGAAGCTTGATTCTCATGAGCCGGTTCTTTCAATGAATCACGAAGTTACATCGTGACTAGTGATGCTCGATTCTCGAACGAAAGAACCTTAAGAGTCGGTTCTTTTTAAGTGAATCAAAAAGTTACATTGTGACTTGTGAAGTTAGTCTTTTTCGAGTTAACTACTCCTATGAGCCGGTCTTTTTAATCTATCAAAAAGTTACATAGTGAACACTCAAGTTCGATTCTCGAGTGCATTACTTGCGTTTTAGTGAATTACAAACACTTAATCTCAAGTAATATGACTTATTAAATCATTCATATCAGACTCTATTAACTAAGAAGGCGTAATGTTTTTCTTAAGATTAGTGAGAACTACCCGACTGATTGTTCATATGACAAAGTATAGTAAAAAAAAAAAATGCACATTATTTTTTTCATACTGCATTTCTAAGTATTGTTTCATCAAAACAATAATTAGTGCAACTGTTAATTGAACAGTTTAAATAGCTTACGATTCCCTAGATATAAAGATGGCACTTGCAGTCCTTTTTTACATGGTGCTTTATTGCAATGTGTTGCATTCTCACATTCATGGATGTTATAGAGATTTGTTAGTCAAAGCATAATTTCCTTCAAGGTATGTATCTTCACCTTGGAAAAGCAACAAAGGGGCCATATGCACGAGGTGTGAGTGAATGTTTCTTGTTTGTCTGAGTGTACTGTATGCATGTGTGTGTGTGTGTGTGTGTGTATGTGTGTAAACTTCAAATCTCAGTTTGAGCAGCCACATAATTCCATGAAATGGACAAGAAAAATAAGACTGATTCAGTAGATGCGAAACACAGTTTTGCAGCCCGCAGGACAATCCTGCAGGTGCTGGACCCAGCATGTGACTGATTGTCTACAACGTCCTAAGAAAGGTAGGATTCTCCAGATAAACCTGGATATAGAGAAAACAAAAAAACAAACAAAATAAAAACATGCAGAAGTCTCCCAGATACATCTTCATTCATAATGTCCCACACACAGCTGCAATACCTCTTAAGAAAAGAAAAGTTCACAAGTATACAAAACTGGACAAAATGAGTAAAATGTATATATCTATATATATTTGTTTTTTTATATTAATTTTACAGGTGAAAAGTGGAACCTTGCCTTGAAAGAACGAGCACCGTTTTAGTGGAGCTAAAAACACATGACTTCCCTTCACCAATACAACTAATATCTGTATATTAATAAGGCAGCACTTATAATATGTGAAAAATCTCAGGTAAACAGTAGCTACTGTAGATGATACCATGTAGAGATGCCATCTGAATGACGAGGAGAGTGTGTGGTGGTCGATACGTAGGATTCACTACTATGATATGAGGAAATGCAGATTGTACGAGTTTGCATAAATGGTTCTTAGCACTTGGCACTGAGCGTGCGGGGCCTGGACTACGATGAGCAGAAAGCAGAGTTCGATGAGGAATGTCTTCAAAAGATAAAGCCAGGAGCGTGCCGGCTAAAAGGATGGGGCAAAGAGGAGGTGGAGCACCTGAAGAAGATAGGCATAGTTAGATCTACGGTTCTGCAGCAGAAAAAACAAACACCCATGTAGCAAAGGCTCCGCTACCCTGCTCTGTTAAGGGATCCAATGGTGAGGGCCTGACAAGACAAGTTCTTCCTGAAGAACCTGAGACGCGTTTAGATTTTTTTCCCGAGGAAAGCGAAACGGCATTTCACTTTGCGAAAATACATTCAGGGGGTATTTGTTTTTGTCTTTTTTCTTTTTTTCCCGATAGTCTGATTTAAACATGGCCTCTTTCCTTGTAATTCATGTATAAAGTGCAAAACTAGATTGTATTCCTTGCAAGTTCCTGGTACATTTAGGTTTTTTAGTAAAAAACATCATGTAAAATACAGCAAAAGTTTTACAAAGGTCAGTATAAGAAAATCCTCATAAACAAGAAAACGTTCATCAAACGGTGAGGAGCAGTCCTCTACGCTGAAAATATGTACAAGAGGCACCTCAAATTTGGTATAAAGAATCCAGCTAAATAAAGTCAAATATCTAAGTATAGCTGCATCAGTATGGTTTTCTCGCTTTTAGCCCAAATAGCTCAAAGCCACTTGTTTTCGAACTACAAATGATGTATATCCTTGAGTTAAAGAACAAAATAGAGGAAAAACAGGAGATGTTTGTTAGCATGCATTGCTGGAATACTGCATTCAAAGCAATAATCCGTTTTGAGTGTCAGTTTTAAAACAAAAGCCAAATGCTTTTCATTTAACCTCTAAAGGTGCATAGCTAGCAGTTAGAAATCGGTCTTCCTGAAAAGAGTGACTAAAGTTCCACCCGAAGAGGCAATTTGCATGTTTGGTAGATAAGTAGCAACGGGGGAACGTCTTTGAAAATAATCAAACCAGCTAGGGGAATAATGTCCAAAAAGTAAAGACAAAATGGTAGTGTTATATAGGACGCCTATTCAGGAAAAACTCGATGCTACATTTGTCCAATTGCATGAACCTTGCATATGATATGGATCTTTTAGTATCTTGAAGCTTTGGTCATATTTCTGTTCTTGTCTTCAGAGCGTTTACACATGTGCTGGAATACTGCATTCAAAGCAATAATCCGTTTTGAGTGTCAGTTTTAAAACAAAAGCCAAATGCTTTTCATTTAACCTCTAAAGGTGCATAGCTAGCAGTTAGAAATCGGTCTTCCTGAAAAGAGTGACTAAAGTTCCACCCGAAGAGGCAATTTGCATGTTTGGTAGATAAGTAGCAACGGGGGAACGTCTTTGAAAATAATCAAACCAGCTAGGGGAATAATGTCCAAAAAGTAAAGACAAAATGGTAGTGTTATATAGGACGCCTATTCAGGAAAAACTCGATGCTACATTTGTCCAATTGCATGAACCTTGCATA